CCCATCTATCCACCCATCACCCACCCACCCACCCACACCATGACGTACCGCCATCGACCTCCAGAGGAACACCAGCTAGGAGCTTCACTGTCCTGGCGGCTCCTGCCAGCCAAGTTCAAAAGTACCAAGGGCACCAGGGCTCAGGATGCTGACGCTAAGCGTAGACTCCTGACCCAGGCTCCCTGGAGGGGCCGCGTGGGCCCTCCGGCTGGGTACCATGCTCAGAAGGGAACCAGGAGCAGGCCACTGTCACAGCCTCGTTCAGCCTAACTTATTTTCTCACCACACACCAAGGCACCAGCCACGGAGAGATATCACGAGAAATAAAAGTAGAGGGCAATGGGGAGGGGCACCCATGGCCCCGCCACCTTCCAGGGCTGAGTGCTGGAGCCCCTGCCCAGGCTTCCTGAGAACACTTCGCTGACCACCGCTGCAGTTTCGGGGGCACTTGGGAGCTGACGTGGGCTCTGACTAGTCACTAGAGGGAATCGCTCAGTCTGCCGCCCCAACTGCCCAGGGGAGCGAAAGGGCCAGCTCTCCCGTGAGAGAGGAAGCATCCGGAGGGAGGAGGAGTGAGCCTGGGCTGTGCGGGAGGGAGGCAGTTGCTTAGCAACTCGCTGCAGCTGAGGCTGCGGGGCGGGAAGGCCCAGCTCTGGAGGAGAGCAGAGGCAGAGGCTGTCTGGTGATGCCAGAGCCCCGCGAACCCTGGCTCTGAAGCAAAGACTGTGAAGCCCACCATCCGGCCGAGGAAGAGCAGGCTTGTCCCTGTGCACCGAGGGCCACTGCAGACCCGAGGCAGCCACAGGCCGCCCCGCTGGAGGGGCCAGACTTCCTGGTTATTTGGGAGGAGGAGGTCATTCTCCCCAGGACTCTGACAGCAGGAATGGGAGCAATGAATAGTATTGAAGACGAGACCAAAGAAGAACGTGATGAGCAATGGGGGTCTGGGGCCCCGATTGGGGGGACGGGGTCCACGAGGACTGGGTGCCTTTACGCTCCATGTACGGAAGCGCATCTCCAGGCCTTTCTTCCTCAGCACTGCAGGGTGTGTCTGAGTCAGTAACCTCTAGGCTGCTGCCCAGCCTTGTCCAGTCGGGTCTGATCCACCTCGACTCGGCAAAGGAGAACGATGCACTGCCCACTCACACTACTAGGTTAATACCAAGCGCAAGCCCACTGCCATCGAGGCAATT